CAAAAAACAAACAAACAAACAAACACCGACAAACAACTTTCCCTCAACAAATGAATAGCTTCTTTTTTCGTTACAGACTATATATATATATAATTGGCTGTGTGCTTTACCCAAACTCCCTCTTTCCCGCGCATTCCTCGCTAGTTGCGGCCTCGCCTTTGCTTTTTTACTTTTTTTTATTTATTTTGTGTTTTCTCTCTGGGCGTGCTTCAACCCTCTCTCTGCCTGCCGCTGCGGTGGAGGGAGGGAGGCGGCTAGCGGTAGTCCTTGTAGTGCTCGGGCTTGGCCCGCTTCTTCCCTACGCCCTGTGCAGCGACCGACTCCTTGGGGTGCTCGACGCCCGGCCGCGGCTGGGCGGGGAAGGTGGGCGGGCCGCCGCTGCTGCTGCTTGTGTTGCTTTTGCCCCGCCCCGTCGCGCGCCAGGCGGTGGCGGTGGCGGTGGCGGTGGCGGTGCTGGAGGTGAATCCCGTGCCGTTCTCAGTGGGCAGTGCGTTGTTGTGCTTGCTGCTGCCGCTTCGGCTTTGGCCGGCGTGGTTGCCGCTACTGCCGTGCGCCGTGGCGGTGGCGAGCTCCTCCGCCTGCCCCGACCCCACTCGCTGCGAGTGTGCGTGGTGGTAGCGGTGCTGCTGGTGCCGTGAGGCGGAGAAGTTCCTGCCGGGGCCCGTCCCACCCCCGTAGTGGTACGACTTCGCGTAAATGCTAATGCAGGAGCTGGTGGCGGCAGCCGCCGTCGTCGCGGTCGACATCGCCCGCTCCAGGATGCCAAAGCCCGCAGCAGCGCCGCCACTTCTACACCCGCCCCCAAAGCTACCGCTAATTTTATTCGCATTGACGTTATACCCGCCGCCGCCGCCACCACCCTGCCACTTTGCATGCTGCGACGGCATCCACGCAGTTCTGGCCCCAGTCTGTGCGGCGACGGGCACCGCAGCCGTGCCGTGGGCGCTGCCCTGGGCCTCGCCAGGCGTGCAGCGGTAGGCGCTCGGCAGGGTCAGTTGGTCCACCGCGACGGCCGGCATGCCACTGCCGTGGCAGCTGCCAGGCGGATGCTGCGGGAAGGTGGCGCCGTGCACGCTCATGCCCTGGCTCTTGGCACGCTCTTTCAACATGTCCTCCCCCTCGTAGCGCCGGATGCGATCGAGGCGGCGCACGGAGGCAGCCTCAAAGCGCTCCTTCCACGGCCGTAGCTGCGCCACCCAGAAGTCGTGTTGTGCGCTCCGCCGCGTCGCCTCATCGGCGCCCGCCGCGTTGGCTGTGACGTCCGTCACGAGCCGCAGGAGCAGCGCCTCCAGCGCGGCGTACTCGGCCTCCTCAACCCAAATGTCCCACTCCAGCCAGTCACAAAAGCGCAGCTCAAGTTTGTTCATCTCCGCGTTGCTGATGCCCCCAATGTGGCTGTAGTACTCGTTGCTTAAGTAGAAGTCTTCCCGAAGCTTCGCCCCGAGCAGCGCGCTGGTAATCATGAGGCGATGCACGTTGTAGATGCTAACGGGGTGCTTGATGAAGTGGGAGCACTTCAGCAGCAGCATCAGACTCACAATGAGCGTCTCCCCAGCAACGCTGCCGTGGTGCACGATGCGGTCCAGGTACGACTCCACGGAGATCGGGGGAAGGAGGTGGGAGTGGAATTCCGAGGTGAGCACCGGCTCCGCCTTGTTCTCCTCGCAGAGGTGCTCCAAAAACAGCGTCACGGCCACCCGCGCAGTTGCCACATCCACCCGGGACGGCAGCGGCCTGTGGACGACTGGCAACGCCACCGCCAGGTAGGACGCGTCACCCACGTCTTCCTCCGCCTCCGCGGCACCGCCAGCTGCAGCAACGCCCTGGGCGCTGTTCCCCGACACCTCTGCGCCACTGGCGCCCTCTCGGTGGTGACTTGGGGGCGTCGCGGCGTCGCGCGCGAACTCGCACCCCCGCTGCCGCTGCTCCTGCCGCGGCCCCTCCTCGTGTGTTTGCCCGAACCCCTCATCCGCGGTTGTCGTCGGGGTCGTGTCGGTGCACGTCTCGGGCGTCGGCACCTCGTTGGAGGAGCAGGCCCGTTTTTCCGCTCCGTCGTCGGCCTCACTGTCGTCGTCTTCCACGCCCATGCAGCCCGCACTCCCGGCGCCCGCCGTGTCGCCCTCCACGGCAGCCGTCGTTGCCGGCCCGCGCGCCGCCCCGTTCGTCGACGAGGGCACAATGTTGCTGTACCCCTGCCCACCCACACTGCCGTTCCGCGGCCACGCGGCAGAAAAGTGGGCGGCTGCCGCCGCCGCCGCCGGAGCAGGCCCGCGCGACACGCCGTTCGTCGTCGTATTAGTATTATCACTACATTTGTTACTATTACTATTGTTGTTAGTGTGATTAGTGTTATGGCTGCCGTTGGGGTTGCCACCGCTGCAGTTTCCGGCCTCCGACAGGGTGTAGCACGCCTGGTCCACGGACGGGTGGCCGGTGAAGGTGGAGTTCGCCATCCCTACAGGCGTGGTGGTGGTTGCCGTCGTCGTGGGTGGCCGCTGCGCTGCGGGGAAAGAGATCGCAGCTCTCCCGCAGGATAGCATGCAAATATATCGTTATATGTATGTATATTTACACGTCCGCCGCTTTAGATCAATAAGCCTATCAAAACTGTCCCGCACACACGCAACACTCCTCTCCCCTCTTTTTTTTGTTTTTGTTTTTTTTTATTTTATTCTTATTCCTTTCTTGTGTTACGGTTCCGCAAATGTCTCCGCGCCTTCCGCCCCGGTGCCCCCTTATCCACTCTGCCTTCCTACAGAAATGTGCGTGACTGTGTCTGAGAGCGTGTGTGGGGTGTGGGGTGGGGTGGGGTGGGGGGGTGTCGTTGCGCCTTGTGAAGTACAGCTGCCTTTGCGTATGTGTATTGCGCCCGGCTGCGTGTCGTTGTCTTCAGTTTTTTTTCTTCCCCCCCCTTTTTTTCGTTTTGCTTCGCCCACCGCGCGTGTTCCTGCGGCCGTGCAGGCGTGTGTGTGTGTGTGTGTGTAATATTTATATATACACCGGGGTGTAACGAACGCCGCCCACTACTCTCCTCGGCCCTTCTTTTTTTTTTGTTTGTTTTTGTTTTTGTTTTTGTTTTTGTTTTTTTGTTTTGTGTGCGTGTGCTTCAACTTTTTTGTTTTTTCTTCCCTCTTCTTCTTCTTCCCCCTCCCGTCGCCTCGCCCACGTCGCCGCGCGCACCTCCGCCTCTCCCCGCTCGCTCGCTCTTGGCCTACAGTAAATATATAAATATATTTACACGCGTCTGTGGGGCTCGCGCGTGCAGCGAACGGCGGCGGAGGGAATTTGAGGCGCCCCGAATCCACGCAGAGCAAGAGAGAGAGAGAGAGAGAAAGAAAGAAAATAAAAGAAATAAATGAACGGCGCCACGTGACGGCGGCGGCAGAATAAATAACAGCAAAAACAAAACAAAACAACTAAAACCAAAACAAAAAGAAAAGAACTCTTCCCCGCCAGGCAGCCATTTTCTCTCTTGTGTACAGTACATCCCGCATACCGCCTCTTTTTGTCGTTGTGCGCCTCCCGCCCCCCACCCCCCCCCGCGTCATCGCGCATCCCCGTTGCCAGGACGGACGTACACGGGCCGCGGCCTGGAGAGCCGGTTGACGGACGTTTTCTGCGCCTCCACCGCGGCGGCGCCGCGGGGCACCTCACGGATAACTACGTACGGGCGCCGCTGCTCATCTAAGCGCACCTCCTCCACAAGCACCACGCTCCGACCCCTCCTTCCGGCGGTGGCGTCGCCTGCCACAGGACGGCCTCCGTCACTGGCGGCAGCGGCCTCGCACTGCTCGCCGCTGTGCGTCCGCTTGACTATGCGGCGGCGCGCCGTGGGAGAGTCCGCCAGCAGGTTACTCCGCTCCGGCCCAACAGCCCACGCCGAGGGTCGATCCGGCTCCTTGACGTCGAAGGAAGAGTACATCTTCAGCGGCGGAAACGGCGGTACATCGACGATGCGGCGCTGCTGCGAAGAACGCGCCGTCGCCGCGGCGTCGTCTGGGGTGCGCCGCGGCGAGGTGGATCGTGCCTGGCCGCGGCGGTGCGGAGACGCCGCCCCTTGCTGCGGTGCTCCGCTGCCCTTCGTGTGGGCGTTGCTGCGGTTTGTAGAGGCACTGTAGTTCACACCGCGCCGAACGCGGCGGTTCGGTTCCCCTCCAATCACCTCCCCCGCTCTCAGCGGAGGGTCTAGGCAGGGTTTAAAGTCTGTGCGAAGATCCACAACAGGGACTGGGAGGCGGCCAGCCAAGGCGCGCGACGCCGCACTACCCGCACGCTCCCCGCCCAAGGTCGCCGCCACCACCTCGTCTAGCCACTGGCCGGTGTTTGTCATGTTCGCCCTCCAGCCCGTGGTGCGTACCTGGTATCCGGCACTGCCGCCCTCACTGCAGCAGCGTCGCAGGCTCCGCACGGTGAGGTCCCGCACCACAGAGCGACTTTGTGGTCGGCGTGCGTGGGGAGAGGAGCTGCCAACACTTGGCCTCACACACGAATTGCCTCGCTGCCGTCGCGGTGTTGCTGAGGCGGGGCGCCCTCCATACGCACCCCGCTGCTGCTGCTGCTGCTGGTGGTGGTGGTTTGGGTGCCGCGGAGACGGGCTCTGTGGGGTCGTTTCACCCTTCTTCTCCAGAGAGGCGTGCGGCGCGGTCGTCGTCACATCCGCCTTTGGTCCTCCGCGTGAGTTGGCCGCGTTCGCGCCGTGTCCACCCAGGGCCGCGTGTACCCGCAGAGGCGTGTTGTCCCCACCGCCGCTGGCGCGCCCGGCGTCGACGGTGCCGTTGCCACGGACACCCGCGTTGGCGGACGTGTCGCCTCTGTGGGACTCATCAAAGTTGCGCGGCGGGAAGAGCGACACCACCTCGTATGGGTGATTCGGCGAGTACTCGCGAGTTTCACACTGCTGAGACCACGGCCGGCGCTGGGCAGGGGGTGTTCCGGCGCGCTGCTGCGAAGCCAGCCTTGAGGGCAGCAGGGAGCGATACGGGGAGCACCGCCTGCTCGAGGCATAGGGCTCGTTGCAGACGGCCTCCACATCCGACGCCTCCCCACCCGCAGACGGAACATAGCCGACGCCGACGCCTATGCAGCCCAGCGGACGGCGCAGCGGAGAAGCAGGGGGCAGAGGGCTCGGGTGAAACGAGGAGCTGCGCCAAGGCTGGCGCGCGCCCCGCGACTGCGCCGGCGAGCGCCCACCGATGCGACGATGCGTTCGTGAGTACGCCTCCGGCAATGCGGTGTCGTGCGCCCTCCAGCGTGAGAAGCGTTCACGCCGCATTGCGTGCTGCTGTCGCTTAAGCTCTTGGTACAGCTTGTATACGTCCTGGGTGTGGAAAATATGGGAGTGTAGTGACCGGGAGGAAGGCGGCGAAAGCAACTTCCTTCGCTCTCCATCGGCCTCGTTCTCACTGCCCCGCCTGTCAATTTGCTGCCGCCACCGCCCATTGTCGTGAGCGCCATTGGCGGCACACACATCTCGCCCGCGAGACACAGCCTCGTCGTCCCTGCGGCCGCCTTCCTCCTTGCCAGCAGCAGCATTCTTATCAGTACCCCCCGCCTTGTCGTTTCCAGAGGGTTTGCGAGAGCCAACAGGAGAGGATGGTTTTCGCGCGGGAGGCAGCGTCCTGCGACGACTCTGGCTGAGGTCTTCCTCACCTCCTTCCGCTTTCCCCTCCTCTTCCTGCTGTGCCCCTCGCCCGCGCACATCTGAGTGATGGCTCATGCTGCAAGACGTGGTTCCAGTAGATGAAGTGGAGGAGGTATCCGTCTGCTGGGGCAGCCTAATTTGCCGTATCTCGGGTTTCTGTAGGTAGCTGCCAGCCGTGCTCGTCTGCCGTGGCGGCGGCCCACTCGACACCGGCACCGCGGCAACGGGCTGCCGCATTCCCTTCGGCGGCTTCGCATCGGTTTTCCCCACTGCCGCCTCTGGCGACACCCGAGGCCCGTCAGAGGCGACGTGAAGCCGCGTACTCGCCGTCTGCGCGCTGGTCTCCTCGTCCTTGCCTTGCTGGGTCACCAGTTGGCTGGACGGGGAAGGCGCGCCAGCGGAGGAGGAGGAGGGGTCGCGCCGCGCCTCCTCCGGCGCCTGCGGGGCTTCCGCCGCGGCCTGCGCACCGGCGTCGGCTTCCAGCGGCGGCCTTGTCTCATTTGGGCGCTGACTTGTCTCCGCCGAGCCCTCCGAATCCTCGTCGCTGTCGACGATGGCAAAGGAGGGAAACAAGGCCACACGTCTTGCCTGCTGCGAGCGACGTTGGACCTCCTCACCCTCCTTGGCGACCTGCACTGAGGAGGACGGGGCAATCCCGGCCTCCCCGGCCTCGTTGCGCAGGCTCACGGTGGGTGAAACGACGAGAGGGGTGACTGTAGGACTCACCGGCGTCGCCCGCTGCGTTTCTACCGCGAGTGTGGGAAGGGGGGACAGACCAGGTCTATCGCCTGGGTGCTGCGCCGTGGCGCGCCCATCGCCGTCGACGAAAGTCGACGTCGGATAAAGTTGTTGTCGTTGTTGTTGTTGCTGTTGCTGTTGTTGCGGGGGTCCTTTCCACGAGGGGAACTGCTCCCCACCTGCGCGGCCAGCCGCGCTCTGGTCTAAAATTGGAGTCGCAGCAGCAGCAGCAGCAGCAGCTGCCGCCGTCCGGGACGCCTGCGCCGCTCCTGCGCCCGGCCGCGGCTCTACTGGGAGAGCTCCACCCTTGGCGTAGCTTTTCCTCGGCGCCGCACGTTCAGCTGACGGTTTCTTGCCGGTCTTCCCCCTGAAGAACAAAGTCATGTTCTCCAAAAGACTGCCGCCCGATCTGTGCTTCTTCCCAGGGCTACCAGAGGAGAGCGGCTGCGGGGCTCCGGCGGATTGCGCCTGCAGAAATGCTTGCTGCACGGGCTGAACTCCACCCGTTGGTGGCGCGGAGAATGGGCGCGGGGACACAACGCCGTGGGAACCCGGTGGTGCGTGCTCCAGCAGGACTCTCGCCTCTGCCCGAGGTTGCCCAGCTGCCTCGCGCTGCACATTCGACAGCGGGACCATTTGCTTTTTGGCGTGCTGCGCCAAAGGCGCACGTGAACTCACAGACGCGGCCGAAGAGCTGGCGGGGCCTCGGCTGGGCCCAGGGAAGGCCTGCATCGGCGGCAACGGGGGGGTCATCGCCAGTTTAGCCGCGGGGTGCTCCGATAGGGAGTGCCGCCGACTAGTTGTCGACGAGCCGCCGGGCGTGCCAGCCGGGAGTGGCATGGGTGCCTTCTTCCCCACGAGGTGTGCGGGCACCATAACCAACTTCCCCCGCGGCTGCAGGGCTTCCGCCGCGCCGGCCGCGCTTGCCGCAGCGCCAGGCGGCAACACGCCCCTCTGCGCGACGGGGGTTCCCGGCCTCGGGTGGCTCCTTAAGTGCAGTGCGAGGCCCCCCGTTGACTGCCACGGCTGCATGAGTGCGGGCGGAGCACAAGCGACACCAGCGTCGTCCACCAGCACGCCGTCCGATCCCTAACGGAACACGCCCCCGCCCAGAGAGAGAGAGAGAGAGATAGAGAGAGAATGCGGGGAAAAAAGGATGAGGCCAGCTTGCCGCATATCCACAGCAAATGGCTAAAGGGAGTGGCTACGGTGACACTGCTCGAACATCGCAACTGGGCGCCAATTCCCACAACGCACGACCAACACATACGCATGCAAGAAGAAGCCGGAAAGGTAATAATAATAAAAACACTACCAAGACACAGGCAGGCATCATACAAAAGAAAAAGCGACAACCGGATGGAAAGCTCGTTTTCACCACTTCCCCGCAACAGAAGTTCCCCGTGATTCTTTGTTGGTTTCTTCCTTTTTTTGCTTTCGCCTTCCCTTCGCGTTTCTCCACCCCTCCTTTTTTTTTGTTATTGTTTTCTTTCCTTGAATGCAAACAGCAACTGTCTATGGGTGTATTTCTATGAGAAGGGCCTTGCGTTCCCTCCCCTTTCTACCGCCCTGACCCCACTGCGCCGGCGTCTCCGCACGCGCAGCGCGCAGAGTACAACTTTTTTCCCCCCACCCCACCCCAATTTCCCCCTACCGCGTGTGTGTTTCCCCTTTGCATTTCCTTGGACGGCGTTACGGCGGCCTTGAGTCTCTTCTCTGCGCCGTCCTTGCGGCGGCCGGTGGGGGGGCCTGCGGCGCCACGTGATAGGCCCCGGGTCCGGGCGTATCCGCCCCCAACGTCGGCGGAAAGTGACCCAGCGTGATGGGAAACGTCGGCCCGCGCCCTGTCATGTCCCAGTGGGAGGGGCGAAAGTACGCCCCCGGGCCCGGGCCACCCCCGGCTTCTGCACTTGCCTCAGCCGCCACTGCCGTGGCGGTCGAGGGGGAAGCGAAGGATGGACCGCGCGTGGGATTTGCGGGAGGGGGGCGGTAGTACTCCCCCGGGCCCGGCGTACGCAGGCTCCCTTCCACCTCCTCGAAGCGTTCAGCCCCGGCAAACGTAAACACCGGCCTCGACGGCCTTGGGTCAATGGGGTGATGGTACTCGCCAGGACCCGGGACGTCATCCTGCGTGCGTGGTACGATGTCAGGACGAGAAGCGCTGCCAAAGCTAAACGCGGGCTGGCTCGGCACCACAATTGGCCCGCCCGTCAAGTAGGCCCCGGGCCCCGGAAGATCCTCCGCCTTTTCGGTGGTTGTTCGTGGGGCGGTTCCAATTGTGGCCGAGCGTGCGGCTTCCACCGGCTGCGGGGCGTAGGTGCCGGGCCCAGGATTCTCACCACCCTCCTGCGCCTCGTTGTAGGTTGGTTTCCCCAACAGCGTAAACGCCGGACCCGTCATGTACCGTGTGGCGTAGCGGTCTGTGTCGTAGCTGCCCGGCCCTGGAACCTCCCGCGCGGCATTCACGCACTCCAGCCGGGTACTTGTGCCAAACGAGTACCCGGCACCCTGCGAGGGCGGCCACGCGGAGGGGGTGCTGTACTCGCCCGGGCCCGGCTGCTCCGCCCCGTCCCGCGTCTCAGCCGGCAGAAAACGTGGGGCATGGGGAAATGACGGCGCGCCCGTCGCGGTTTGCTGCGCCACGGGATCGTACGACGCTGGACCCGGCATTTCGGACGCCGCGAACTCGGCACTGGGAGGAAAACGCGCGGCGGTAAATCGCATGGCCACGCCTCCGTCCAGTGTTGTGGCGAGGACGGGGTCTCCGCGCGCCACTTCGTAATGCCCCGGCCCTGGGAGAAGGTCTGCGCCACCCGCGGCAGCGCCGCCCACCTCAGCCAGACGCGGCGCACGGCCCATGCTCGGCCCAGCTGTCGGCTGCGGCAGTTGTGGGTCGTAGTAGCCTGGCCCGGGCACCATCTGCGGGCCATCGCCGCCGCCGGACGCCGCAAAACGCTCCGCCTTTAAAAAGGAGGCCACCGCCCCGGCACCCTCTGTCGCAGGGAAGGCAGGCGGCAACGTGTACGTGCCGGGTCCTGGGACTTGCGTCTGTTCCACCTCCCCCAGTGTGGGTCCACGTGGTGCGGTGCGGTGCAGCGAGAAGGCGGGCCCGTCGTGCGTGTTCATGCTGACGTCGTATGTGCCTGGCCCGGGCAGATCTCCGTCCTGGCCTGCGTGCTCAACGCCTCTCGCGGCGGTGCCGAAGCGCATGGCACGCCCAGTGGGAGAAAGTGCGAGGTTGTATGTGCCTGGTCCAGGCAATTCGGTGTCGCCGCCAAAGGGCTCCTTCTTGCCGGATGAAAAGGAATAGGCCTGCGACGCATCCCACTGCGGGTGATGCGGCGAGTACTGCCCCGGACCTGGGAGGAGGACATCTGCCTCTCTCTCGGCAGCGAAACGCGGTTCTGTAGGGAATGACGGTCCCATGAAGCGGCGCCGCCCGTTTTCCTCAGCGCCGGTGCCGTCGTACTGGCCTGGCCCGGGGGTGTCACCAACCCCCACGTGAAGCTCGCGCGGTGCCGTTGAGAATCGATAGGCAGGCGCCGCCACCGCCGCCACTTCGTACGTGCCGGGGCCCGGAACCTCCGCGAGAGACACCGGCCCCATCGTCCGACCCGCGGTTCCAAAGCGAGTGGCGGGGGCGGTGAAAGTTGGAATGGCGACGTCGTACGCCCCTGGACCGGGGACGCCGGCGCCCCCACCTCCAGCCTCCTCCGCCTCCACTGTGAGACGGGGCTCCTTGCCAAAGGAGTACGCCGGTCCCTGCGCCGTCGTCGCCTCGTGGGAGCATTGATATTGGCCGGGACCCGGGAAAAGCGCCCGCGCACGGCGCTCGTGGTCTGGGATGCGGGGATCTGTTCCGAACACGACGGCGCCCCCGCTCCGCGCCTGACCCCCTGCACCGTCCGCGTCGTAGGCGCCCGGTCCTGGGGTGGCGGCGTTGCCGTCGGCACCTGCCGCGTCCTGGAAGCGTGGGGCCGTCGGGAAGGAGACCGGGCCAGTTGGGGACGCCTCGCCGGGCTGCAGCGCGGGCGCATACGCGCCGGGGCCCGGAGTCCGCCCCGCGTCCTCCGATGGCGGCATTCGGGCGGCGGTGCCAAACACCACGTCCCGCGGCAGCGGAACGCGGCTCTCGGCCGGGCTGTAGTGCCCCGGACCGGGGGTTTTGTCAGCCACCTTTACCTGCTCCAGCTGCCTCGGGTCGGCGGCCCCAAAGGTCGCGTGAAACGCGTGTGGAGCCTGCAGCGTCGCGTCGTACGAGCCCGGGCCAAGGTGCCTGCGCATGAAGCTCTCTCGCTCTTCGGGCGAAAGCAAATTTTTCGGTGAGGAACCAAACACCGCCGCAGACGCCGTCCGCTCTTGCGAGGCTTGCGGGAGGTATGACCCGGGCCCAGGGCGCTCCGCCGCGTCGACGGGGAGAAGCCAGTCCGAGTTATCGTTTGCCGTCCCAAAGACAAAGCCGCGCGGGGGCGAAGGGGCGGCAACCTCGTACGCCCCAGGCCCGGGCACTTCTCTGGCTGCGTCCTGGAGAAAGCGGGCGCTGGTGCCCCACGCGGCACCCGCCACGTTGCTCCTCACCTCCTGCGGATCGTAGACGCCGGGGCCAAGCCCACCGTTCATCCTCCTCGTCCCCACGGCGTCCTCCTCGTTGCTGAGCAAACGCGGGCTGGTGCCAAAAACCGCCGCAGTGGAAGCCGCCGCGGATAACACAGCTTCGTAGGCGCCAGGACCGGGGACACTGCCTCGCAGCTTCTCTGCGTCACCCGACTGGAAACGCGCCGCGACGCCCACGACGGCGCTCGGGCCCTGCGCCAATTCCCGTGCGTCGTACATCCCTGGCCCAGGCGTCAACTCCGCCGCCATGGCGGGATCCGTCAGCCGCTGCCGCAGAGAGAAGGAGGGACCACCCGCGGGCAGAGTAACGTCATAGGCCCCCGGACCCGCATCGGTTGCAGCGGCGGCGGCAGCCGCGTCAAGGGCCAGACCCCGCGACGCGGTTCCAATAACCCCACCGCGAGTTTTGAGCGTTGCCGCGTGGTCGCCAAGGTCATAGTACCCGGGTCCAGGCAGCGGCGCACCGGCGTCACCACCGCCGTGGCTGTCAAACCGTGGTGCGGCGGAGGCGAGGAGCGGAATCGCGGTGTGTCGCTCCTGTGCTGAGTGCTGAAGGTCGTATGCGCCGGGCCCTGGCACCTCATCCGCGAAGGCGCCCAGCGTGAGAGTGCGGCGCGCCGTCCCCATGAAGGCCGACCGTGCGACGTCGGCTACGCCGTCCGTGTCGTACGCCCCCGGCCCAGGGAGGCTCGCCGCGGCGGCAACTTCCGCAGGCGCAAAACGCGGCGCCGTCGCAAAGGACGCCGTCGCGGCGCGCTGCCGGCGCAGATCAAAGATAGGGATAAAATAATCCCCTGGACCAGGCGCGGGCTCCCCCACGGGGGCCGGCGACCATCGCGCGGCGAAGGTCCACTGCGGCCCGGTCGACTCCGCTGAAAGCACGTAATGCCCGGGACCCGGCACGTCGTCGGGTGGGCAATTCCCACCACGCCAAAGGTTGGCGTCGCGTCTGGCGGTCGGGATCACCGCACTTCTTCCGACCTTCACAGCCCCACCGTCCGGCAGAGTCGCGGGGACGTCGTATGTTCCCGGCCCCGGAACCGCCTCATCGGCGCTCGTCACGGCGGCGGTGTTGCAGACCGCCGCGGCCTCACCCGGCAGCTTGGCGCGCCCAAACGAAAACGCCGGTGCATTTTTGTGTCGTGCGTCAGTGCATGTTGCCCGCTCCGTGGAGTACTCCGCGGGGCCAGGGCCTCCCTCGCCGTCGTGGTTCGCCCCCAACCGCAGCAGCCGCGGGCTTGTCGTGAGAAAGTAGTTCCTCTTGCCGTGCATCTCCGTCTGCGCCTTGGGGGCGATGTCGTACGCCCCCGGCCCCGGCGACTCCGTCGACGTGTGCAGCCGCCGCTCCGCCCGTCCAATGGAGACGCCCCTCGAGCTCCGACGTGGGGAGGTCGCGTCAAAGGCGCTGGCGACGTTGTACGCGCCGGGCCCGGGCACCAACGCTGCTACTGCTGCTGCTGCCGCCGCCGCCGGCCCTCCACGCGCGGACGCCATGTCGCGCACTGCCGAGCCTCGTTCACCTCGCCTCTCCTGATCCGCGCCCCTCGCCTGGGCCACCCGCCGCGTCTCCTCCGCGAAGAGCGTTCGCCGCGGCGAGGTGCCAAACACGGCGCCACGGCTCGGTGACGGATGCACCGCAAGCTGCGGGGATGACGTGGAAGGAACGGCAGGCCCACGCCGCCGTGCTTTGCTTGCACCCACGCGCACGGCAGCGCCGCTGCGACTACTACTGCTGCTACTGCTGCTGCGGCTCTCCCTCTCTGAGGGTGCCGTGCGGATGGATTGGCACGGGCAATTTCTCGCGTGCGCCGCAGCATTCGTCGGTAGCTCCAGCTCGGGAAACTGTTTCCAGTAGCACTGACACAGCAACGTGAACTGGCGCCGCAATGCCTTGGCCGCTTCCTCCGCACTGCGGTGCCCATCGCGCGCGTCGCCGGGAGCGCCGTCAGCCTCAGCGATGGCTTTGCCGCCACGGCCACGATGCTCAGCAACACGGCAGCGCGCAGCGTCATCGGCGTCGCCGCAGAAGTACGACCCCGGCCCTGGCGCGGACGTCTTTATAATAGGATCACACATGCCGCTGCGACCGCTGCCAAATGTCGAGGGCGGCCGTCGCCGCCGCAGCGAAACGGAGCTGCGCCGTGTGTTAGTTATAGCCGCGGTAACGGGGGTGTAGCGCTGTTGCGGCGGCAACAGACTGAGTGGCAAGCCCCCCGCCCGCTCCCTTGACGTCTCTGCGCCGTGCGCACTGCGCCGCTGCAGCTGCTCCGCCCCGGCGTCGCGCGCGTCGCATGGCCGGTGGCAGCTGCAGTCGCACGTACGGCCCACGTCACTCAGAAGAATCGTCGACGCCGTGGTGGTGGACACGTCCAACGCATCCGCCACGCAGGGGCCCGGCGGCTCCGTCCCGACCGCCCCAGCAGGGACGCCACCAGCCGCAGTCATCCCTCGCCGCGTGTTAACCGCCGCTGCCGCTGCCGCTGGCACCACTGGCGTACTCCGCGGTCGCACCCGACGCTGCTTGCCGCCGTTCGCGCCACGGCTTTCGCGAGGGACGTTATCAAGCGACGTATTGACACTCGCGAGGATGTGCTCGTAAAGCAGATCCACCTGCGTCTGGACATCGTCCGGGTCCACGCCCACGGACGACGACCCATTCAACGCCATATCCACTCCACCGGGCCAGCTCGCGCAGAAACACACGCCCGCCCGCCGCAATTCGCTAATGGCAACCACAGAACTCTGCCTCGCGCCAAGCCGCAGGAATTCAGTGAGTCGATAAAGCCGACACTGCCCCACCCCAATGCCAGCGCTACCACGACAAAAAAACAAGACAGAAAAAGAAAAAAATAAAAACAACAAATATGCATAGCAGGAAGAAAAACACAAAATCTCACTACTAAATTCAAAAAAAAACGATAAAAACAAACAGACAAACGAAACAATCTTCCTAGATTCCTGCGGGTCGCTCACGAGGGTCGGCAAATGTGCAAACAAGTTGGGGTCATCACTGCCACGGCGCGACGGCGGCCGCCGCGGGGGCGGCGAGGAGGGGGAGGAGGACAACAACGGGGGAGGGTGGGCTCGCCGCCTCAGTAGTACGAGTAACAGTTGAGGTAGTAATGCACACGGCATCGCGTCGTCAACCTGCGCCAGGCGCCTTCCGATGGTAATTCCATTTCCACGCATCATTCGCGGCAGCAGCAGCAGCAGGGGGGAGATCAGGGCGTGCGTGTCTTTGTGTGTGTAGGGGGGGAGGAGGAGGAGGGACCCGTCACGGGGCGCCGTCAGCTGGTAGTGCATGTTGTCAGTTATCTCCAGTCATGTCAGCGCT